ATAGTTCGAATGCTGTTGTCGCATGCATTCTATGTTTGGTCTTCTGCTTGTCCACATGTCAGCAAACTGTCCGTGAGATAACTAAATACCTTTTTTTTGCACTTTTTGCTCATCTTTTATGACTAGCGTTTTTCCGAGAAAAAACATTTGCAACTGCCAACGCGGCATCACCGGATATTAACTTTACATTCATCCTACGGATATCATTGAATGCATGGCAAAATCACTCCTCGAATGCAAGTTTGTCCTTCTATTTGGCCACCGGCAAAGTGGCAAGACAACAATTACACACTCCACAGTGTCATATCTGCAAAATATTTCGCAAAATATCCAAGTTCCTGGTTATGAACAAACCGGTTTTGAGGTATATTACATATCTTTCCAAAGCGGTATTGAATTTGGAAGCACACCACGATTCTGGTGGTCGCTATGTGCGACATTGATGGCCAAGGACAACTCACAGTTCAAGTTCGAGGATTCTAGCCAAAGTGCATCATCAGCCACATTCTTGTCGTTCTTTTCAAAGCGTCCAAAGAGTCGACAAAAGCCTATGATGCTCATTATCGATGAAGCTTCTATGCTGTATGAGATCAAAGACACCCCCGGTGGAATTGTTGATCAGTTCATTGGTACATTACGGGCCATCAAAGATGACATTACAGGTTGCTGTCTGCACTCTATTGCTCTTGTGGGTACTGTGTCAGTAAGAGATGTTCTGATCAGCCGACAAGTAAAATGTCGATCAATTTATTCACCGTTTTTGGAGGAGGAATCTTACAAGTCGTCTCGTTTTTCTCAAAATGAAGTTCAGGATCTTCTGAATCAGTTTGTATCTGTCAAAAAAATCGAACTCGACGTTAATGAAATTGCTAATGACATCTATGAACTCACTTTTGGACACAAAGGACTTGTCGGCATTTGTGGAAACTTTATTGAGAACACACTATTGAAGTGCAGCCGTACAGTGTCATTTCAGGACTGGAATAAAAACGCAACTAAACTGAGAACATTCGTATGGGGGAAACCAACTTATTATTCAATCATGCGAGCTATCACAGTCCTCACATCAGCCCCGAGAAACACTCTCGGTAATGTTCTTCAATACGTTATTGTTGATATCTCGGACTTCATATTTACTTTTGCTTTTGGTTGAAGATGAATGACGAGGCAAAGTTTCTTCTTGCGGAGGGATGTGTGTTCGTGCTGGCGAAAGCTTTGCTGCAATCATAATTCAATGTAGTGCACCTATTCTCAGCAGCATGATGCTTTCCAGAATATGTGGGCCTGCTTTCGCAATCCCAGAATCACCACAAGAAACCAACAGGCTTGACATTGACTGATTATTAAGACATACCATCGAGGTAAGTTTTTTACGCGCGCACGCTGACCGAAAAAGCAAGTGGTGGGTCTGTAATAATTGAGAACCCTGAAATTTAGTGTTTCAACACTTTTTTACATTGAATCTTTCTGTGCAACACATATTTGCCAAACAAACAAGAAATGTCGCCAGTAAACCATCAGAATATTCATTCCAGGCAGAATTTGTCACCGTGATCAAGAATCTGCTTGGTTCAGCTTACCCAGACCTGCTCTACCGTGTTCCACCGGAAGTGAAAGAATGTCATGATAATGGCAACTGGCGACGCCGCCTAGACATTCTAATGTGTGATACCAATCTGCCTAGATATGGGTTTGAACTTGTGGTAGCTGCTGACCAAGCCAACTTCGATAAGCATATGGATAATGCTGATGAGTATGGTGAACTTCATAATTGTAAGATGTATTTGATCAATTTGTGCACCAGAGAAGATCTTACCAACTACTTCGGAAAAACATTGATTCAGAAACGTGTAACTCCTGTCCATGTGTTGTATGAACTCAAAGGGAAGGCATCTTTGATTTACAAACACCAAACAATTTCCGTATTAATCACCAGCGCGACATGGTCAGTGATATTCGATGACACACCAGTTAATTCTCTTGAATGGTAGGATCTCGAGCTAGTTTACTCAAATCCTAATTGAACAATACAACCAAAACAAAAGTAACTAAAAATAATCTCTTCTAAATACTTTTTATAAGATTACTTTTCAATAATCTACAAATACTAATATGGGTAATTATTTTCAAAAGTGGGCCAGAAATTTTCTGGTGTGATTCTAAAATTTATTATATACTGTATATATATTATTTAAAAAAAAATCATATCTAGCATTTTTGTTGCCTTCAAAAATAATTATCTATATACTCAAGTCTATATGAATCATTAATCCAAAAATACATTTCACTAGCATTATACTATACTAACAACTTACTTTTACAATTCAACAGCACTTTTCTTAAAATTTTATTAATATATAAATACTAAACTAGTATAATATTAATTATTTGGAATTTCATTCAACAGTACAAATTATTTATAATTTATATTAAAACAAATTTCTATTTATCACTTTTTTACACAATAATTATAATTTTCGTTTTAATAAATCAGAGGAATATTATCTCTTTACTAAATATTTAAAATTAAATCATAAAATTTTCTTTCCACTCCTATTAATCACAAAATATATACTGTATATTGTTGGTGGGGAACTGATATGGGGTGTGACCGCACAAACACATTCTGGCACGTCACGTACCCTGATTTGCAATAATCTGGGACCTATAGTCTATAGCGACATGTAAAAGTAATGATGTAATTTTAGGAAGCTTAAATTAGCCATAACCTTAAAAAAAGCTTATTGATTACAAATAGTCTATCGGAGCTTAAGGGGGATCACATGGCATAATTGTAGCTTAGCAAGAGTACACGAAATAAGATAAAAAGGAGAAACCAAAAAAAAAAGAGTCACGTAGCATGCAGTACACATAATAAGAAAAACTGTTCCCTAAATTAAAAACCTTATTAATTAGGACATGTGTTTATTGTTGCCAAACTAAGTAAAAATTAATTAACTTACCTAATCCAGTACTTGTCACGAGATAGGATGGTTGAGACTACAAAGGAAAAAGTGGTAAGGATTCGTCAAGAGAAGCAAACAATGGAAAGAGAAGGAAAGTGTTAGTAGAACTCAGCTAAACAACTTACACGCCTCAAGTCTAGAAGCTAAATACTTACTGAATGTTATGCGAGAAGTGCTTAGGAGAAGCGACAGACTTGCCGAGAGAGACGTTAACAATATATACTGTATATATTATAATAGATTAGAATTGTTCATTTATAACATATTAAGTAATGATATAATTATTCTGTGCTATATATTGACTAAAACCAAATAAAATGGATTAGTTATAGAATCAAAGTTTTACTTATCAAATGAAATTCATTTAAACTTTTAAATTATAACAATAAATAAAACAAGTTTTAATATTAAAGTATACTATAATTTGATTGTTCTTATTATATTTGTTAATTTTTATTTAACTATTTTTTCAAGTATATTATGGGATTATGAATATTTTTCTATAAAAGATAAAAATAAGAATGGTTAAAGTCTATAATATATTAATTATTAGATTACTTATAAATATACAAATACAATTGTATATAAAATAAAACATAATATATTTTTAAGCACAAAAATAAAAATTTACTGACAATTAAATTATATAAAACTATTTTATCTATATATTATCATAGACTAACTGGTAAGTTTATTATCAATAATTAATAAATTTTGCATAATATTGGATTTTAAACTCTTAAAATATATTACAATTTGACTGATCATGTTTTTCTTTCTTATAGTTTCTAAAACTTTTCTAATCTTTTTAATCAAAGCCCAGTTCATATAGTTATATAAAAAGATTAGAAGTACATAAACAATAATAGAAATAGTTAATATAGATAAAAGTTTAAATATATCCCAATTAATGGACGAGCAATATATCATCCCTATAAATCGCATCTAGAGACTCTTTGTCACAGACAGGTGAACTGGGTTAGAGAAATTTATATATATAACTTATATTTGTAATGTTTCATTTTGATTTAATAAATAAATGACACCAACCTAATTGAGAGAAAAAAAAAACAAAAAAATAAAAGTTTAAATATTTAAAGTAGTTTTAAATAAATACTATTTAAATATTAATTTCCTTTATTTTTTTTTGTTCAATAGTTATATTTATACAAATTAGTTTGTTTATATGCTAAAGTTTTTTACTTGCTAATTATTTTATATCACATAATTATATAAGATAATATTTTAATTTCTTTACTATTACTTTTTTACCATTTCTTTCATAAATATATTAATTATATAATATAACATATATTATATTATTATATCTGTAAGAGAAGATTTGTATTATCACATGAACTGGTATTATGACAATCTTAAATTTTTAAAATCTGAATTATCTTTGCTATAGTTGTTTTATTTCTTATATGTTTTTTCTTGATTATATACAATATCTTTTTTTTTTTTTGTAGGTAAACATCATTTCTTTATTTTATTTGTATACAACAAAATATATATTGTAAAAGAAACAACATCTCTCATATGTAATAGTACAATGAGTTAAATACTAGCTTGTTTACAGTAATCACTAAACTAATATTGAAAAGAAATTTTAAAACAATATATCTTGTCAAGAGGCTCTGAGCAGCTATGATTATCTACTTAGCATTAGATGGAAGAAAATTAAGATAATCTAAAATTAATTTAAAAATGCACTTAGTGAAATTAAATATACTTTGGATATAAGATCAGCCACTAATGTAGATAAATCTATAATAGTTGATGTTAAAGTGGAGGAGTTGTTGAGAGATTTGGATTTAGCTGGGTTTTTGGTCACTTGTTTTGATATGTTGCTGTAGGAGTTATTGTTCTATTTGATACCAGTAAGAGGAGAAGTGTTTGCTGTGACACAGCAGGGTATCCAGATTGATTTATATAGACAAGTTAAGGTCTCGGTTAAGGCTTTGACCCAGTTGGAGAAGTTGATAGTGGAAAAGATATTGTCAGTAATTCTATATACTGGTTCTGCTAGCTGCCAGGCATGTGAAATTGGTTTGTAGTCACTGTTGGAATGAAAAATGTTGTTGATAGTATTGATAAGTTAGCTAATATCTTCTGAAACTGATAAGTATTTGAAGATATGTTTGATATCCTCGATGCATAGACTACACTGGGGACAATATAGATCAAGGTATTGTTCTGGATATAGTTTGTGAAGGTTTTCTCTTGTAGAAAAAGTTCCTAAGAGCACTTTGATTCTGAAGGTGATGAGATTGCTATATTTATTGGCTTTGGAATTTTTTATTTTTTGATTGGATTTGTTGATGATCTTGAGGCTGTGAGTTTGTGGATATAACCAAATGTTTTTAGAACTGATGAGCTTTCACAGATTATATAGGTTTTGGTAATGCTTAGGATTTTCTTGCACCATCTGACACTGCTGCCTAACTGCAAATTGCTGATTAGAGAACTTTCAGGAAAGTGAAATGATGGCTTAATCCATTGAAGAGTGTTGTCAAATCTTGGATTGAATTTGGGACTGGTATATTTGATTTGGATTAATTTGTCTTGTATTAGTTTATTAATTCTTAATATTATTGGAGCAAAGTTGATTTTTGTTATTTTTCTCAGGTAGTTGGATACTTCTTGAAGAATTTTTTGTTACTTCTTATTTCCATGATGCAGTTTGATGGACACCAGTGCAAAATATCTATTATTATATGAAGGAAATCTTCTAGAGGGTGTCCTGAATTAGTAAGAATAATTTTTGTACTGTTTGCAAAAATCTTGCTTTGATGAAGTTGGAGATAGTACTGTTGACAGAAGCCAATTCTTTGAAGTATGAAGATGAGAGGAGAAATGAAAAAGTTGTTGATAAATTGAAGAATGTCTTCTCCTTGTTATGGTGGGATTGACAGTTCACTGATTATGTTGCATAGTCGGTGTTTATTTAGACTGTTGGGATTTGAGACTACTAATAATAACAATGCTGCAGAACTTGTGAAAGACAATATGCAAAAGCTAGCAGCAGGTAATCCTAGTGGACAGCTATTGTACCTAGACAAAACATTGTTTGGATCGATAAAGTAATGTCTTCCTTTAAGATTTGTCCTTTCGTTTATGCTATGACTTCTCTTGTATATCTTGAGGATGCAGTTGGAGTTGTGTGAATACCAGAATGAAGGTTTGGGATTTGATACTGGGCCATGAGTTTTGAGAAGATTGTTTGAATTATTGAAATATTTAAACCAATTAGGCTTGGGTTCATATTGTACAATTCTTATATGTGATATGAGTTAAAGCCATATGAGTTTTTCTGTGCTATTGTATTTCAAGAGTTGGTTAATGAATTGGATGTTTAGGGCATTTGCTGTATTAACTGCTATAGTTTTGTTAAAGGAAGTCAGACTTTTAAATAAAAGCCCAATAGAGTTTTCAGCATTGCTGAGGTGCATTGAGAAATCAATTGAACAGATTTGAATTTAGAGATTCTTTGCAATTTTGGTTATATAGGTGATCCAGTTATCTTTATTGCACTTTTCTGGATTGCAAATCAGACAGAACCAAATTGATTCATTTTTTTGAATTGAACACAGATCTTGAAGAATATACTTTCTGGTTGCTGGCATGAAAAGTTTGGAGATTAGGTTGCCAATTAGTAAGAATCTTTGCCTTTTTTCAAGAAGAGACATGTTGAAACCACTGTGGCTGATAAGATGTAACAATCTTGACCTGTAACTGCACCACGGGACCCATACTGCGCCTAGCGACCTGGACGCCCCGGAAGGCATCTGATCCGCCTCTGACGACCTGCAAGTCTGAGACACATTTCCAGACATTTGTCAGACGCATGTATGGTGCGATTCTGATCCCTGACGATGTGCCACGCCGCCAAGACACCATTAATTAATTACTATGAGCTAATGTAACCAAATTAGGAGCATAAGGCCATAGAGCGTACATTTGTTTATATTATTTTCTTTTTATTTCCTTTTATATTTCTTTATGTTAATTAAGTACATATG